CCAAGCTCAGGACAGAGCTGCGTCCAACCGAGGTCACCCAGTGACTCGGGAGCAGGAGAGCTTGGGGACCCTGACATCAGTCCCAACAGCATGGGTGACGAGTCTCGGACTCCCCAGGTGGACTCTGGGTGCCCATTTTCCGGCTGTTACACAGGCCTGTGTCCACCTGTTCCCACACCAAGTGAAGTCACAGTAAGGAAGGAGAGGAGTGCTAAGTAGTCACGACCCAGCCCTACATCCCTGAGCCTGTTTCCTCTGTAATCTGGGACAACTGTGCCTGTCCAGCTGACCTCTTGGCATGGCTGGAGGATCCACGGTTCATCAGGGAACAGTGGCTCTTCTTACAATCAGGCTTCAGCCCCGGTGCCACCTCCCGCAGGAAGCCTTCCCAGCCTCCCCACATGTCTCCTGGGCCCCTCAGCCATCATTGGTCATGTCTCCATCAGGGAGGAAGGCAGCAGGTGATCCAGGAGGTGGGGCACGGCTCCATCCCTGTGCTCATCGCTCCTTCTCACCGTGAGGGTGTGAGGTCCAAGTCAGGTCTCTCCTTCTGGAAGCCCTCCTTCCTACACTCTTACCCACACACTCAGACCCTGCCTCTATCAGCTATAGAAAACCCCTCCATCCCTCTCTTGTGCCAAGCAACCAGGGCACACGTTCATGGCCACACGGGCAGCTTATATACAGAGCCCTCATCTTTCCCAGGGAGGCCCGAGAAAGAGCTCTGGTCTTCCAGCAAGCAGACCTGGGTTAGGATCCCAGTGACACTGGAGTCCCACACATCCCTTCCCTGGTCTGGACCTTCTTTTCCAGGTCGGTACCTGGAGGGTCCTGCCCAGGGCTGAACATATATACACAGCTGGGATGCAGCACGGACTCCACCATCTTCCCTGCCACCCCATCCCCAGCTGGGTGCTAAGCTCTGCCAGAGATCACATTCCAGCACCCCCAATCCTGAGTGGGGGGCCCTGCTGGCTGTTCTCTGGCAAAACTCCTCTCCCTCTGGTCCACCCTCACAGCCTACCTGGCGGAAGGGCTGCCCCACGGGAGGGAGTGGGCCTTGCCCAGCCAGGCCAGGGGCTGGGCAGCAGCACCACCACGCCCTGCTCCCCTTACAGGTAGCCAGCCTGGTCCTTCTTTGAAAACCTACACCAGAGTTGTCAGACAACCCTCAGCTCTGCCTGGCAGAGACGGGGCTGGGGGTTGGGCGGGAACTGGAGTGCCAGACTCCAGCACCGGCCGCTGTGTGACTCAAACTCGGACTGGACCCCCTCTGCCCTCAGAGCCTGGGCTCCCCAGAGCAGCTTGGGGAGCAAGGGAACATGTTGTCAGTGCCGCTGTCAGGACACAGCAGGGCCTCAGCGGGGAGCTTCCTCTGCTGGCCTGGGATGAGACCCTTGCCTGAGGAGCCCACAGCAAGCACCAGACTCGCCCCTACACCCAGGGGTGGCCTTGAGGATTCACCCCTAACCCCCAGCACACACCTGGGAGCACTGAAAACCCTGGGACAAACCTCCCTGTGTGTCTTGGCACACAGTAGGCCCTCAGCCTCCAGTGGCTACCATTCCTTCCTGCCTGGCCAACACAGATATGACCACGGGAGGAGAGAGGGTAAGGGCCAGGCTGGCCCCACCCAGCTGGGCGTGCAGTGCCGATGAGGATCCACCCCTGGACCTATTCCTAGAAGCAAGAAGCGGGGCAGGTAGCACGTGGACCACACAATGAAGAAGGACTAACATTGGGCTGGGAGGGTTCCTGGGAGAGGGGGTGGGGGTGGGGCTGTACCCTGAATGATCAGGAGGGTTCTAGAAAGGGGAGCCAGCAGAAGGAAAGTCAGAGCACAACCACAGCATCTGGTGGAGAGAGATAAGGCTGAAGATGTCAAGTTCAAAAAGGTCCTGGAAAGAAAACCTCAATGACAGGGTGATGAGTCTGGACTGTAAATTGTTGGCCAAAAGTACAGGTTGCCTTAGGGAGGCCACTCTGGCGGTGGGCAGGGATGGGGACTGGAAATGGAGGCAGAGAGGCCAGTACAAGAGTCCGGGCAAGGGCAGCAAGGCCACAGCTGGAACATAAGAGGCGCCCTGGTTTTGTGAAGGCACGTCTTGGGCCTGCTCCCAGTCCTGGGCCACGTCCAGCCTGCTGGGGAACATGTGGCAGGATAGAAGGTAGGTCCCCTGCCTGAAGGGTGAGCGCCAGAGCATCAGGGTGGTGGGGGCCTTGGGTAAATTCCAGCAGTTCTCAGAACCTCAGTCTCTCCCGCTTGTAAAATGAGGCTGACCCTGTGAGCAGTGGCTGCCAACTGAAAGCTTCCCCCTCCTTGGCCAGAAACAGGCACCTCCCTCCAGCAACTGTTGCACCAATCCCAACTGGGGCCCCACTGGAAACCCAGCCTGGCCCCACCATCCCTGTCATTCATGGCGCCCAAGTTCCCAGAAAAGTCTGGCTTGGGCAGGGCACAGGGTGGGGCCAGGACCAAAAGAGGAGGTTAACTCTTGCTTAACCCTTCCCCTCGCCCTCCCCTTTCTAGGCCCTGAGCTATTTCCACCTCTTTGTTGGGGATGGAAATAACCCAGGCTCAGTCCCAAGAGACCAAGACAGCTATTCTGATCAGCCCCAAGAAGCACAACTCCAGTCATTCCAGAGAGGACAGAGGGACACCCTGATCCCCAGCTCTAGCTCTCAGCCACACAGCAGCAGGGGCCTCTGGGAAGAATGTGGACGCTGAGGCCCGGAAAGTGTAGGCACAAGCTCAAGGTCACTCCCGGCCTGTCCCGCAACTCCTGCAGCATGTGGGTGGTCTTGGAACAACTCTGGATAGGGACATAGGTCCTCACAGGTATGGTGAAGGTCAAGTGGGACTCCAATTCTCCTGCCGCTCTTGGAGCCTGGGCTATGCTGCTGATGCCCAACACTCCTCAGAGCTATACAAACACTCCTCAAGAGCTATACAGACTCTTCCCAAACCAGTTACAGGCTCTAGAAGGCAGGAGACAGGCCTTTCTGGTGACCTCTGGCTAGGGGCTGAGAGCTAGTGGGAGGGAAGATGGGGAGGAACAGAAAGTCCACATAATCTACACAGCCATAATATTTTAGACATGTATGCAAATACACACCATACTTAGAACTCGCAATGGCATACACCCTGCCAAGGCCACATTGCCAGCCCAGGTTGAGAGAAGGAAGCCCAGATGAGCCATGAGCAGCTTATTATGAAGGGAAGTGGCCCTCACCAAACATCTCACAGGGCTTCAGGAGCAGGAGACCTGAATTCCAGTCCCGGCACTGACCTGACTCTGCGTGACCTTGGGGAAGTCACTTTGCTTCTCTGAGGCTGTTTCCTTCCCTGGAAAAGTCACCGCATCTCAGAACCACTGTGAGGATTCACCAAGAGCACCCCATAAACTGTTCAGCATGGCACGTGGAACCCTCACCCCCACTCAGAATACAATGAACGTTTTCAAAGGGTGATAGCAGATAAGAGAACTTCCAGATCCCTCAGCAGGCGCCCCTTTCCCTCTCCTAATTTCCATTTCACTTCGCAAGAACCTAAAAGATCCTCTTGTGCGGGAGGGGGACTCAGGAGGGTCTAGCCCAGATGGTGAAGAGGCCCTGTTCCAGCTCTCCAAATCAGAGACCACTCACAGGGACCCTGCCTCCTCTCCCCGCCATGAAGGGAACTGAAGAAAGGAGACAGGAACCAGAGAAGTCCGTGTCTATTGTTCAGAATTTTCAGCTTTGTTCGAGGAGGTGTGCTTCCAATCCTGTCACCACACCTGGGTGCAACCCCTGAGCCACTTTGTCTCTAGCAGACAGCCTGCCCCCATCCCCCACTGCAGTCTTTCTTCCTGAGGGAGGTAGGGGAGAACAGAGACAGTTGACCCAAAAACAATAGAGGATCCCAAAGTGATGATGATTCACAGTCTGTTCACAGCCCGGCACCTCACTGTGCAGAGAGGGAGACTGAGGCCCGGTGAGGGTGGGACCTCAGAGCAAGAATACAGGTTACCCGGAGCTTTGCCAGGCCTCCCAGACGTGTGTGTGTGTGTGTGTGCAGGACACAACCCCCTTACTAAACTGAGCTCCTGAGGGGGTGCCCTCTTGGGGACAGTCCTGGAGAGACTCTTGTCCCCTCCCTTGAGCCCCCCTTCCTTCCAGACCCCCATCTGCTAGCAGGTGTTTTGAGGTCCCTCCTTTCCACCTTGTACTCATCTCCCCGAGGTGCAGACGCGCACACAGCACAACTTGACCGCACAGCACACTATGCTTCAGGGGCTGGTTCTCACAATCACCCGGGCCTCTCTCCCTCTATTCCACGCTCACCCACGTTAATGAGGGCCCTGGCCCTGCCCTACTCACGCCCCAGGCCACACATACACACACACTCAGTGACCCCAGTGACCCGGGGTCTCACTCACAGCAGGCGGGGGGTCACAGCCACCCGCAGTGACCCGGGGTGTCTCACACACAATCACACGCACACACTCTGCCTGTCACAGACACACAGAGCCCCTCTGTGTCTCCCGCTCGGCCCGGCGTCACCGCCCAGTGTCCCGGCCACACGTTCGCCCCGGCTGGGCCGCCTCACGCGCCGTGTCGCCCACAGTCACGGGCTGACACCGCTCAGAACCCCCTCCGGCTGCTCCGCGCCGCAGCCGCACTGAGGTGCCGCGGTCCAAGTTTCCCGGGCCGGGGGCGTTTCCGCGGCCCGCTCGCTCCTCAAACTGCAAGTCCCGCCGCCGCTTCCCCACCGCGCACAGCCGGGCCTGGAGCCGCGGCCGAAGGACGCGCAGGTCCCCGGGCAGGGGGGCTCAGAGACAAAAAGACGCGGGGCCGGGGGGCCGCGGGGCCCGGGCTGCGGCATCCGCCGCGCCGGCGAACTTCCTCAGAGACGCGGGGAGGCAGGGGGCGCCGCTCGGCTCCGCATCCCTCTGGCCCCTACCGCGGGGAACGGACTCCGGGCTGGGGCTCCGCGCGACCTCCTTACCTGGCCGCTCCCTCTAGCAGCCCAGCTCCCGGGTCGACGCGGTGCCCGGGCCCGTATCGGCGAGCGCCCGGGCGGCCGCGCAAGCTGCGCGCCTTTTGAATGAATCGCCACCCGGGCCTGGAAGACGCACGGCCCCGCCTCCACGCGTCACGGCCGGCGGCCCCGCCCCCGACGTCAGAGCCCGGCTCGCGACCCCCGCCCCTGGAGGCTGCCTTGGGGCGAGAAGGCGCTCTGCGACCCGGCCGTGCTGCTCTGTGTCGCCATCTCTCGTGTCCCGTAGGAACTGCAGGGGCTGTGCCAGACAAGCCCCTTCTGGGGTCAGCCCCATCTGGGCTCCGAACCAAGAAAGGAGCTGCAAGATAAACTGGAGACTTGGATGCTACTCTGAGACCTGTCATCATGCCAGTGCAAACAGGGCCACCGCTGCTCCTCACTGGGTCTCGTTTTCCTCCTGGAAATTGGCAGCCAGGGTGAACGACCTCACTTTGTCTTGAGGAGGCCCAGGCCCGCCTCCAGACACCCCACCCATTTGGTGAGAAAAGGCCTGGTGAAAGTTAATCTATAGTGGAGGCACTGTGTAGGCTTCTGCCATTCTTCAGGGCCCAGTCCGAATCTCCTTCCTCCAGGAGGCCTTTCCTGTCTCCACCCCACTACCCTCCGCCGGGATAGTTAGTCCCTCCTTCCAGCAGGACAGGTGATACACTGCTTGCTTTCTGTTTCCTACGGCCAGCCGTCCCACCCTGCAGATTGCCAACCTCAACCACTGGGAGTCCAGCAGGGGGGCACTAATTGTATTGTATTTCTAGCTCTGTGAATCGTGCCCCTTGGAGCTGTGCCTTATGGTGGCCAGAACTGAAGGCAGCAGCTCAGGGGCCAAGGTTCCCCCCACTCAGTACAATTCAGGGGTCCCCAGAGGCCCTCCCAGGACAGCAGGGCTGGATGGGGATGCAGACAGTAGGGAGGGCCTTGTGCTGGGAGCAGAGGCCTGGCAGGAATTAGGATAATCACAGATCATGGCAGAGGTGGAGGAAAGGAAATTAGTTGTTAGGGATAGATTGTGAGGGGAGGTGGAGAATTCTAAATAAATTGAGTCAGAGAATCTGAGCCATGGGGTGAGGGGGTGGAAAAGGTCAGGTCCCCAGGGTCCAGGAGATCCAAGGAGGAGAACCGGACACCTGCAGAGGGAGCGGGGCAGGGAAAGAGTTTCCATTTCCTTGGGCCAAGCCCAGGATGTGGGGGAAGGGCAGAAGAGGCTCTAGATGACTGATGTTAGGATCATAGCCCCAGCCAGGCCCCTCGAATGACTACAGAGACCCCCAGGGTTAGATCAGGGGTGGTCCCAGGGTCACATATTCCACATCCGAGCCCACAGAGGTCCATGCTGGGGACCTAGTGAGGGAGCTAGGGCAGCCCAGGATGCCCTTGTCCCTGCAATTGTTTTCTTTGTAAGAGGAACTTCTATTCCCCCGTTCCAAGTTCAAATGGTGGCATTTCACATGCACTCAATAGGCCAGATGGGGATATGCTTTTTGGTAAAGCACTGGCCATTAACCAGACGTCCTACAGGGCAGGGATCCCCAACCCCTGGGCCACACAGCAGGAGGTGAGTGGCGGCCAGCGAGTGAAACTTCATCTGTATTTATAGCCCCTCCCCATTGTTGGCATCACCATCCTCCCCACTCCCACCCTCCTCCCTTGGTCTGCGGAAAAACTGTCTTTCTTGAGACTGGTGCCAAAGGGGACTGCCACTATAGAGGGTCCAGACCTGTCTCTGCTACCAGCTCCATGTGAGGCTTTGGTCAAATCCCTTCCCAGTTCAGCTTCCCCATCTAAAAATGAGGCTGCCTAACTTGTTGCCTGGAGGTTATACTAATTCTCTGTGTGAGGAGGCCCGACCTGACCATGTGGGAAGGGTGAGCAGCCACCAGAGCCTGGAGAAATGACCGGGGATGGAGGAGCCGAGCAGTCCCTCTGTCCTCCGAACCACAGCCAGCTGCACCTGGAACCCTGCCCAAGAGTCTGGGAACATTCAGCTGCTACAGAGAGGAGACAGGGAAGGAGTTGTGGAGGCCACAGGAGAGATTTAGATCTTTTTATGGAGCTTGGAGAACCACAGGTTTGGGAAAACAAAGGACTCTTAGAATCACAGGCTTTTAAAACTCCTGGCATCTCAGATGGGTCCTTGGAATCTTAGCATTTTAATCCCTGAGCTCAAGCATCTCAGAGACAGACGATCTTGTTGAACCTCTGATAGGGAAGCCGGAGAACTGAGCCCAGAGAAGTCCTGCACCTCATCCTAGGTGGCACAGCACAAGACTCCAATAAGCTGGGTGAGCTGTGGTGACCCAGGGGCAGGGACATGGGCCCCACTGAGGCTTTGCCTGAGGTGGGGATCCTGGGTGGCAGGATCAGAGAAAAGGGGCTGTTTGCATGGGATCTGAGCAGATGGCAGCCTCTGGGGTTATGAGGGTTATGGGGTTAGGTGGCGCTAGTGGTAAAGAACTTGCTTGCCAGTGCAGGAGATATGAGACTGGGGTTCGATCCCTGGGTCAGGAAGATTCCCTGGAGGAGGGCACAGCAACCCACTCCAGTATTCTTGCCTGGAGAATCCCAGGGACAGAGGAGCCTGGCAAGTTACGGCAAGAGTCAGACAGACAGGACTGAAGTGATATAGCACGCACAGGGTTATGGACCAGAAATGGTGGTGCCCTCTGTGGATACCCTTAAATTCCAGTGTGACTGTCCAAAGCAAGAGGAAATGTCATGACTCAGGCTTAAATTTCAAGACTCTGCACTTGGCTAACCCTCTAACTGGCCAGGTTCTATCCCTCAGAAGGCGGGCTGTCCTCCTGTGTCTGTTCCTAGCCTCCAGAGGGAGGGTGAGCTTGGTTTAAGGAAAAATGGGCTGGGAGGCGAGGACAAGGCAGGAGCTGAACTGAGGCTACCAGGTTTGAGAGCTGGGTTCTGTCCACATTTATGTCCAGGCCCTGGCTTGGGTCTGTAATCTCACTGGGATGGGGCTTTGGTGTCACACGGTGAAGGATCAAGTCCTAGTTCTGCCATTGTCAGGCTGCGTGGCCTTAAGCTAGTGACCTCACCTGAGTGCAAATTCACTCTAAGGGCATTGTGAGGACCTGCTGAGACCCCACAGGAAGCACCAACTTATTCTACGCTGCAGGCTCAGAACCTGCTCTTTCTAGTCCCCATGCCCTGTGTCCTCTCCACAGCCCAGTGTCTGGGCTCTGCCCTTTGGGCTCTCCCCAGTGCCTGCAATATTGCCCCCTCCCCATTCAGCCCTGCATCCTACCCCTGACCCAGCCTCTTCACTTGCCTTTGCCAGGCAAGGCTCCTCGTTGGCCATAATGGGCCCAAAATAGTACTTCCCCTTGCTGTTTCCTGCAATCTGGCCTGTGGCTTAAGGTCTGTGAGGCCAGAAGAGAGACTTGGTGTTTGGCAGGCATGCAAAAGATGTGAAGAGCTCTCGGAGGTCACCTGGGTCATTTTTTTCCTTTTCTGACCATAGGAAACCTTCCTGCCTGGTTCTCCTCTACACCCACCCCCAGCCTCAATGCTGCCTTGCTGTGTGACGTCAGGTAAATCTCTGTCCTTTTCCGTACCTCATCTTCCTTGTGAGGCAGATGTCTAGCTAAACCCTGCTGTTTGTATCTAGCCCAAGGAAACACCTGGAGAACTCCCCCTTGGAGAAGAGGTGGCTTTTGGCCCTGACTGTCTCATCTGAAGTCAGGATGTCCTTCCCAGGCTGGGTATGAGGAACATGAGCCAGATACATCATGAGTGGCTGGCTGTGTCTTTGGCTGCTTGGACTGTCTCCTGTCCTCCAGCCACCCCATGTCACTGCCCTTACTCTCCTCCATGAGGCAGAGACCTCAGCAGACAGATCACATGCACATCCCAGCTCTACTGCTTAGTAGGAAGGCAACCTTGAGGAAGGCATTTAACCTCTCTGAACCTCAGTTTCCTCATCTGAAAAAAAGGATAATGGTACTAACCTCCCAGGGCCACTGAGGATTAAACTGGATGATCCAAGCTCCTGGCTTGCCATAAATAAATGGGAGCTGGGGCTATTATTTAGCGACATTCAAGACCTACACGGGAACCTCAACTGAATTATCTAGATTTAACTAAACAAATATTTATTGAGCACCTACTTTGTGTCAGGCACTGCAGGTGGCCTGGGGATGGAGCAGTGAACAAACATCCCCCTTGCAGAGCTCACATTCTGGCTTCCCTGCCTTCTCCTCTTTCCTCACTGCTCCAGCTGGGCCTATACCTCAGACCTCTTCCTCCAGGTTTCCCCACCACTCTTTGATTTGACTCAAGCTGTTCCTTCACTCCTCACATCAAACCCGAGTCCCACTACCTCCACCCCAGTGGCATGGCTTGTGGGATCTTAGTTCCCCAACCAGGGATCAAACCCGGGCCCACAGCAATGAAAGTGCAGAGTCCTAACCACTAGACTGCTAGGGAAGTCCCTGGCTGTGCCCTTTAAAGCAGTGGTTCTCCGCCTCACTAGCAGAACTAAACCAGTGTCAGAAGTCAGCATGGTAGTTACCGGAGAAGGGGAGAGTGGGTGGGGGTACATGGGGGCTTTCAAGTGGTGGAATGTTCGGTTTCTTAATCTGGGTGTGTTTATTAATAAACTTATCTGGCTGCCCACTAATGACTTGAGTACCATTCTATACAAATGTTATACTTCACTTAAGTTTTCCTACGAATATGACTGACACCTGGGTCGGTCCCACCCTCAAAATTCTGATATAATTGGTCTGGAATGTGACCTGGACCCCCCAGGTGATTACAATGTGCAGGCAAGATTGAGAACCACTGCTTTGGAGGAGCTGATCCTTCTAGGCTCTCCCCTTGGCCGGGTGCCTAGTGATAGATCGTGCATCCCAGGACCACCCTGCCCACAGCTGACCTGCTCAGGGCTGCTCATCTCTCCACAGGCTGCCCTGTGTCCTGGGATGTAGCCTTCTAAGGAGCAGTGGGCTGGGCTGGGCCCATTACTACCGAGGCATATTAGGGAAAATGCGGAGGATCCGACCTTGGGTAACCAGTGCTGAAAGTGAAGTCTCTCCAGAGGCAGAAGAGGGCCTCAGGCAGCAGAAGTTGTGAAGCAGAAAATGGCAGCTGACTGGTGGTGAAGCAGGAATCAGAGACTCAAGGTGGAGAGTTCAGGGGTCTTAAGATGGGGCAGCAGTATATGGACCACTGTGCTAACAGCTATTTGATTCTAGTTCACGTTTCCACTAGTCAGCGCCCCCTTTATTTCTGGGCAGAACAAATCTCTTCCCTGCAATCCAAAGA